AATGGCGGTTTGGAAGGGGACGCATGGAGCTGCGCAGGGAGGATGGCCGTGGGGGTGGTGGTCTCACTCTGCGGAGCATTCAGTGGAGATTCTCCCCCTCGGGTCACCCACCCTGTCCACCCAGCCTGGATGGCTACGTGCTCCACAGAGGCAGTGGCTCTGGCAGGGAGACAGCTACTCAAGCCAGCGGCTGCCTCTGCCGCCTGAGGCTTCTCCCTCATCCCCATGGCAGTGCTGGGTGGGTGCAAGCCCTGGCTGGCTCCCCTGCATGGCACTTCGTGGCCTGGCATGAGTGACCTGGGCCTGTGGTCACAGCCAGTGCCATACCGCAGGGATGGGTGTGTCAGCTATGACAAGCAGACGGGTCCCCCAGAGCTGGAGCCCAGGCCTGGAGCAGGACCTCTTCTCCCAAGTCCCACCCCCTCCCACCCCACCTCTTCCTGACCTGCCTCTGCCCGGTCTCTTCCCGCCCAGTTCCGCCCCCTCCCCTGAGCATACCCCGCCCCATCCTCGCTTCTCCCCCTTCCTCCCCTGCACCTCCTGCATGCCACGAAACAGCTGATCGTGGCAGGCGGTAGGTGATGGGAGGGATGGGGAGGAGTTGATCAGCGGCAGGCGGGAGGCGCTGGGGGGAAGGAGGGGAGCTGGCTGACAGTGGGTGCTAAGCACCCGCTAATTTTTTTCCATGGTTGCTCCAGCTTTGGAGCACCTACGGAGTCGGCGCCTATGACACTAGCTCCAAGCAGCTCGCATTGTCCAACCCAGAAACAGACAAGTGATGAGAAACCACTGAAACAACTTGAACCTGAAAAGAAAACCCCAGTCTTGCAAAACAAAGGGCTTGTCATCACGTACAGCCCTACAGCAGCACAGCTTTAGTGACGAGGCTCCCACAGCTCTCCCGTCAGCGAGTGAATCCACCTCCGTGCGAGGCCATAGCTATGTTGACGGGAGAAGCTCTCCCGCTGGCACAGCGCTGTCTACATGGGACTTAGGTCGGTGTAAGTACGTTGCCTAGGGAGGTGGATTTTTCAAACCCAAGCGACGTAGTTATCCCGATATAGGGCTGTAGTGTAGCCCTGGCCTAAGAAAGGAGGGAATTTCCCCACAGTGAATCACCATCATAGTGTGAGAGAGAGAAAAAATCCTGCAAAGCCTATTAAAGAGGAAGGGGTTTGATGTGGAGGCTATCCAGATGTTGAGGGCCAGCATCCAAGTGCTGTGCTGGATCCCCTCTAGGACAGAGGACATGCTGGGAAAGTGAGCAAGGGCACTAGGTAACATGTTAGAAAAGGAAATTTTATCTACTGTAGAAGTGTGAAACCCTGAGGGTGTGTCTTTATGTTTATTTTCTGGGTAACTTGCTGGGTTTGCTCTCCCTCACCATAGAATCATAGAATAGAATCATAGAATATCAGGGTTGGAAGGGACCTCAGGAGGTCATCTAGTCCAACCCCCTGCTCAAAGCAGGACCAATTCCCAACTAAATCATCCCAGCCAGCCCATCTCTGAATCGGGGGCTCTTCTAGTCAATGAACCTTTTGTTTATTTTTACCCCAAGCAGGTCTCTGTGGTGCAAACTGTGTGGAGTGTGGGTCCCAAAGAGAATTGATAACAGTGAGCAGATCAGAGGGGGAAAGTGAAAGTGTCTGGCAGTTAAGAACTCGGTGCAGATTGTTTTAGAGGCACTTGGGACAGGAAGGGCCGCTGAAGTCACCTTGCAAGGAGTGACCAGGGTGAGACCTTTATGCTGGTAGGCTGGCTACCGGTGCCAAGGCTCTGAGCCATGGCAGCATGGCATTAAGGCACCCAACAACACAGGGCAGGCGGTGACAGAGCTCCTTACTGATCTGGGTGATCCCCAAAACATCACAGACACACTGATAGACAGACAGACGCATAAACACAGACACAAACAGACACACAGACATACTGATACAGACACACAGAGACAGACACACACATACTGACACACAGACACACTGATAGACAGGCACACACACAGAGACACAGACACACTGATACAGTCACACAGACACAGACACACACACTGACACACAGACACAGACAGACACACACACATTGCAAATGAATCTGGTCTGCTTCAGGCACCATCCAGGAGCTTGCAAAAGCTGCTTCCTTCCACCCTCGCTGGTGCCAGGCTGAGTGGGCCATGCCCTCCATTCTCACTAGCTTCTCACCCTCCTGCCCCCCACAGCCCCACTCACCCCCACCTTGACTCTCCTTTCTCATATGAGGACTGACCAGTCGTCCACTTTTGCTGAAGTTTCTGTAAAATGTCTTTAGACATTTTATTAAATGTTTAGTTAGGAGGGAATGACTACAGGGGGAGCTGCCCTGATGTCTGGAGCTAAGTTTGCCTAACACTTCCTGTTATCAGTTGCCCATAACTTTGCCAGACTTTACCTGTTTGGCTGAACTATTCCCTACGCTCTGCCTCAGACAGTATCTACCTTGCTAGTTAGTCAGTTAGTAAAAGTCTGAACAAAAATGGTTCAGCTGTTTCAAGCGACAGGCCAGAATAAATGGCCTCACTACTGTTAAAGACCATTCCAGCCATTTTTTTTTTGGAAAAGCTCTAGAGCTTCCATGCTGGGGAACAGGGGCTTGGACTGTGGTAGGGATATCACGCTCAGGTCAGCAAGGTGCCTCTTGCTGGCCGTATACAATCCACTCAAGCTTGGTTGAGGTATAAGCCTCTGAAAATCTTTGTTTGCCAGTGCTCAGTAGGGTCTGGTAGCCACTTGCTGATAAAATCTTGGAACAGTCCTTATGCACTGAGCATGCTCCCCAGTGCCACTGACCGTTACCTGCACAGGCCAATTGCACAGAGAATGCCCTGGGACCCAACAGAGCTGGAGCTCCAGAGCGGACACATGTGCAGCAACTGCAGCCAGATATGCTTTGGCCTAAAGGAAGAAATGTTGAGCTGAGAACCAGGAGGAGACCATGAGATCTGGGGCCTGATTTTCCACCAGCTACACCTTGTGCCGTTACTTGCGGCTGTGCAAAGTGGGTATAAAATGCTCCCAGCTTGGAGCAGTGGTATGTAATACCCACTTTGCAGGTGTAAATGACAACATAAGGGGCTGGACAATGGAGAAGTTGGCCTCTAATCTCAGCTCTTACATTGGGTGGTACTGAAAATTCTGTGCACTTCACACTCCTTAGTGAGCATGTCCACGGGCCCCCGTCTAAGAAGCAGGCAAGTAGTACACAGAAAGATTGCACAAACTCTTCTGGCAGCACTAGGGAGCAGACCTAAGGCTCATCCACGTAGCCACCCTGCCTTTCAAAATGGCTGTGCCAAATCTATGTGCTTGGCTGTGCTGTTTGTAACCACCAGCCCACACACCCCTCTACGGCCAAGCATAGAACCCAGGAATGCTGGTTCCCAACATCTCCCTGCTCTCTAGCAAATAGCTGTGTAAGAAATTGATACAGCGTGTGCTGCATTTCCTTCTAGTTACTGGTCCACATAGAATGTAAATCCTGCCACTGCTACCAGATACTCTTTTAGTGCATGTGCTAGAGGTGGAGGCTGTGTGTCTAAAGCATCTAACCCTGAGGATTCCACGTGATGGGATTCCTCTTGTTTCTGTTTTTATTTTTAAAAAGCTAGAAAATTACCTACAAAATACATGAGCAGGATGTTACGTTTGCAAAGTCAAGCACTCAGGAAATGCCAAATGCACAGTTGCCCATGAAATCTTAGCGCTGCCCCTTTGGGTGTATGCACAGTCTTTATAATCACATGATCACATGCTATTTTTTCCACAGAACTCCTGCCTCATTCAGTGCACAGGATGGACAGTGGGTGAGAGAGAGGACTGTATGAAGAAAAAGACATCTCTTGTGGTTAAGATGCTGGATTGGGGCCCAGGCTAGCTGGATTCTGTCCTTGGCTTTGCCACAGAATCTCTGCGCAATACTGGGAAAGACCTTTTCTTAATGCAGGGCAGAATTCAAGTTACACAGGCAGCCTTAATTCTGGCATTTCCTGACTTCTGAGGGCTTTACATGGCAACCGTAATGGTTCTTTTATCACTGTTGTAATATGTAATAGGGTGAGCTGTTTGATAGGTAGTTATTATCTGGGCTATTGTCTAATTGCTGCTATTTCACTGCACATGTTGCAATATTATGCTGATGACTGGGAATTAACAATTCAGTTTCTTACAAACAGGTTTACTTGTTCTGTGAGTAGTTCACAGTAAGAGTCACTCATTCCGATCAGTGCTAAGTAGTGAATTATTTAGTATTCTCTGGTAATCAAAGAATAAGTCTTTCGTTTATTTAATAAAATTATTGCAAAATAACACAGTTGCTTAGTGTGTAATTACTAAATACTACAGCATGTTGTCCACCAAACAGCCACATTCCTTTTCCACTCAGAAATTCAAAGGCTAATTACGAGTCATTAATTTTGGCGGTGCCCAGAGCCCTTTGGGGGGCTTTGGTAGGCTCACAAGGGGGGTGAGTTAGTGGAGGAACCACACCCTCCTCTTTGCACACTAGGAATATTACACCCCATGAATGTATGGGGGGGGGGGGGGGGGGAAAGGGGGCGCGAGACCGTGCCCCTTTTGAAGCCGACCGGCAAAGGGATGAAGAGGGGGCCTATGCCTTTATGTCTCCTGTTTGATGATAAGGATTATGAAGGCCTTAGAATTTGTCTTTTTTTTGTTTTGTTTTTGACATGAGAAATGCAAATCTCATTTGCCCAGGCACATGAGAGACAGCAGCAGAGTGGGGAAGGGAGATGTAATCAGACTGTCTGACACACTTTGGGTTGAGTTTGCTTTTGTAGATGCCTGTGTAACTCAAATGACTAATACACACTTGGGAAAAGGAGGTCTGAGTTAAAAATCCAAACCCTGCCTCCCCCTTTGAGTAACGGGGAGGAAAAGCTCCTGATACACAGATGAGCCCTGCTATGAGTCCTCCAGCCAAACCAGGGGAGCCCAGGATCACCAGTCCTGACATTTCTAAGGTAAGAAGCAAGGCCAGAGAGGTGAGGGTGATGGTGGAATGGGAGGGCCATGGGATTGGGAGGAACAGGGAAGGACAGGTGCCCACACCATGCAGGCCAGTGAACTGGACCCTGAAGGATGCCATGTGGGGTTGGCTGTAATCTGGCTGTAGGTTGGTGCTACGTGTAGTCTGAGATATGGAGTCAGTCGGGTCAGGTCTCTGGCATGCATTTGTCTCAGGGCCTGGAACATGTATATGAGGCATCCAGACAGGAAGCCTGGAAGAGAGATGCATTCCTTGGCATTGGGGACCCTGCCAGGATATCCAGTAGATTGGTCCCCTCCAGGAGTGTTTCCTGCGCAGAGGACTCCAGGCACTTACTGGCAGTGCGGCTCCCCCTGTTTCCTTCACTCCGGGGGTTTCACTGGAGCAGAAAGTTTGTTTTTAATATCCCAGCTCTTATCTTGTAGCAGCAGCCTGTCCCCTCCCCTTGGGCAGAAAGACAAAGGCAGAGAGAGCTTTCCTGTACCAGCCACAATTCGCACAGCACGCGGACACCATGGGGAACTGCATCATCACTGTGGTGAGTCCAGGGGCTCCTTTGCCCACCTACACTGTCCTCCTAAAATAGATTTGCTCCCGTAATGAAGGTGAAGGGCTGAGAGCAAAGGCAGAGTGCAGAGTGGTGCAGGTGTAACCCACACACCTTCTGGGTGTGGTGTTCTGTCCCATCTAGTGGCACCAAGACCATTTAAAGAGAGAGTTAAATGAGTCTGCTCTACAGCCTTAGCTAACAGCCAGTTGGTTTTTAGCTCATGCGGTAGAAGCTCGGGCACTAAGCTCCAGAGTTCCCCAGTTCGATCCTGCCCGCTGATACAGACACATGCTGGGCTAACACTCCTCGCTCCTGAGCACAGCTGGTCAGGGCTTTCTGACAAAACAGGTTTTCATTGGAAGGTGGTGAGTCCTGGAAACAGAGACTTTCCTCAGGAATGTCTTGCTGTCTGTGAAGCTGCCCAGGAAGGTTTCTCAGCTCAAGCAGGAATTTCTTGTCAAAGCCAGACGGGGCCTTGCCCCAGTCGCTGACAGCCCAGTGCTTCGGGCACTCCCCTGGCCCACATTTGAACCTGGGCTATAGGAGCCTCTCTCCAGCCTGGCTGTCTGTGCTGTTCTGCTTAAGTCAGGACTGACCCTGGGGTTAGGGTACTGAGGGGAGCCCCAGATTCAAGGCCCTGCGCCAAGCCAGGCAGCACAGGGATGTGATCCCAGGTCCCCCACACTCCAGCAGAGCAGCTGAACCTCTGGACTGTTGGATATTTGAAGGCTGCTCTCGCTCGCTCTCTGTTTTTTCCAAGAAAATGTTGGCAGGGCTTGGTGTCCAGCTGGTGTGGAATGGGAAAAAAATTAGATCTTGACTTCCACAGGATGGGAAAGCATTTCCCACCCCAGCTCTCCTCCTGCCTCCCTCTCCACCTGCCAGTGCCGGGGAGAGATTCCTTGTACCTATGATTTGTGCCGGGCACTTTTCACTCACTCAGCTCCCTGCTCCAAGTGGAACAGAGACCCAAACCAAGGAGCACGCCAGCTCCCCTTCAGGAAGGGGAAGGTACTGCAAGATTCCTTCCTTTAGGGAAAGTAACTCTAGAATCTCCTATTCAAGAGTCATTATTTCTGATGGCAATTTCCTCCAGTAAAGTGAGGAGACTCTGAGTTTCGGGTAGAATGCAGGTGAGACAAAAATGAGTGACAGTTCTCCAAACATGGGACACTGGAGAGGGATGCTCCCTGCTTCCCTGGGCTTCCCATGCTTCTCAATCCCAAGCCCCAGCCATCCCAGTCCTGGGCCACTCCTAAGCCGTTGGGAGTGGATTCTATGGGGATGAGCACCAACAATGATGGTTTGGGAGTTTATCCAGAGGCATCACCTTGTGGTTCCCCCCTCTTCCCATCCAGCACAGAAGCTCAGTGGGTTGCAGTATCATTTGTACTTGTGAATTGAGCCCAGACAGCCGGCTGGTACATCACAGATCCCCCAGTCCCTGCCTGATCCCCTGGTCACTGAGTGGTCATCATGTGGGGCAGACTGATTCTTGTCTGCAGAGCTAGAGCTGGGAGCTGCTGTCACCGGCTTGAGACTGGCTTTTGCAACCAGCTGTGCCCAGCGTGGCTGGCTGGCTGGTATCATGGCTGCATGAGCCATGGCATCTGTGAAGCATCCAGCACCAAGCCTGCCTGGCAGCTTGGCTGCAGCCTCGTCCTGGGGCCCTGAGCCAGGCACTGACTGTGATTTGCGACCTTTGCCCCAGGAAAATGGCTTTGTAAAAATGATGATCAAAGCATTAGTTCTGAAAACACTGCCTCCTGATGCTGCTGCTCCTGCGCCCTGGGGGACAGGCAGAGGGGCCATCTGGGCACAGGACTGGCTGCTTACCATGAAAGGGCATGTTCCTCGGCCCACACTCACCCCATCTCCAAGGCTGGCTTTGATTCTGCCCCCCTCGCCTGGACGCCAGTGGGGCCCCAGTGTCACAGGCTGGCCCCGCCTCGCTTTCCTCTCTGGCCCCACATTATCCCTGAGTCTCCGCTGAGCCTCCCCCATCTGTTCCTGACCCCAGGCCGCCCTGGCTGTTCCCCACATTCTCCCTCTGCCCCATTTCACCCCTCCCCAGCCGCCAGAGTCACCCCAACCCTTCCCTTCCCCCTAAGCCCTCCTCCTCCATCCGTCCGTCTCTGCTGCCCTGTGCTGGGGGCTCTCACCGGCTCTGTCTGCCCTGCAGCAGGGAGCGAGTCTCCCGGCTGGTCAGCAGGCTCATGCCAGCGGGGCGCAAGCTGTGGGCAGCTGCTGCAGTGGAGACAAACGCAGTGACTGCCTGTGCAACGCCCATGCTGCAGAGCAGCGGCTTTCAACCTTCTTTCATTTGTGGACCCCTACAAAGTTTTGAATGGAGGCGCGCCCCCCTTTGGATATCGCAGACATAGTCTGAGCCCCCCGGGGGTCTGCGAGCCACAGCTTGGAAACCACTGTTGCAGAGGGGCTAGGCCATGGCATCCTAGGAGTGCAGAGTAGACGAGCCCTCCAGAGCTCCTCTAGCCCAGCCCCCGGCGCTGCGGCAGGACCAAGTGACCCTGGACCATCCCTGACAGAGGTTTATCCAGCCTGTTGCTAAAAACCTCCAGTGAGGGGGCTCCCTTGGGACTCGTTCCCAGAGTTTAACTCCCCTTAGTGTTAGAAAGTTTTTCCTAATATCTGACCGAAATCTCCCCTGTTGCAGACTTAGCCCATCGCTTCTTGACCTTCAGTGGCCATGGAGAACACTTGATCCCCCTCCTCTTTATAACAGCCTTAGCGTGTTTGAAGACTGTTATCAGGTCCCCCCTTAGCCTTCCTTTCTTAAGCCCAGTTTTTGAACCTTTCCTCATACATTCAGTTTTCTGAACCTTTTCACCTTTTCGTTGCTCTCCTCTGCACCTTCTTTAGTTTCCATTTCTTGCCTAAAATGTGGTGCCCAGAACTGAACACCATCCTCCAATGCCGAGTAGAGCGGGACAATGACCGCCCGTGTAATACAGGGCCGGTGGAAGGATGTTTCGCGCCCTAGGTGAAACTTCCACCTTGTACCCCCCCACCCCCTGTCCCCAAGCCCCCGCCCTGAGGTGCCCCCCC